GTGAAAATTGAGTTATGACCCATATGTTTGACTTTACTAGGTTTTTCCCCTTTCAGTTTAACAAAATGTTAGGCCCAGTTTGTGTGTGAAACTCTTCCCTGTTGGCAGTTTTTCATCTGGAAGAACCTAGTATGTCATGTCAGTATACTGATGTAATGTATACTGATCTGGAAAAACCTAGCAACTGAACTTGCTAGGTTTTTCCAGATCAGTATACATGACATACTAGGTTCTTCCAGATAAAAAACTGCCAATTGTAATCATGTGATCTGATTTGTGTGATCATGTCGCCGGTGTATACTATCGCAATAATTATGCAGCCGGGCTCGATGAATTACATATTCACTGTGCTAATATTTCTCAAGTTTTCTGCATATTTACTGCTAATACTGGTAGTAAAAATGGCATCCGTGGGAAAATGATGGTAGAGTTGGCATTGAAGAAGGCTAGGCAGCAACAAGGTGATCAGACAGTAGCAGTTAAAGCCGATAAAAGGGTACAGAAGGACAAATTGAATGTAACCCGGGCTATTTTGGTTGGCGAGGCGATGGAGTTGTAAACATGCCTGTTACTGTTAGTGTTACCGTAGCTGAGACTGTGAGTACCATGAGCTCTGATGAATCTAGGCCAGGCCCTGTTCAGGCTGTTGTCTAATGACAGGGATGTATGTGAGGACCTCGATTATGCGCTGCTTAGTGAAACCAGACCAAGGGGGGGACCCTCTGGACATTGCCGATGGGGATGGAGGGCCCTTTGCCTGATTAGTGACATCGATGAAACCCTGCCACGTCAGGGCCCTGCTGTGGGCTGGAGCATAAGTGCCCTGAGAAATGATTTGATTGATGGTCATGGTTGGACAGGAAATGGAAAAATGAAGGGTCCCTTCAACTGTTACAGCAGCCAGATGTTTCAAGGCCAAAGTAAGTATAGGGCTATATACTGCTACTATAAAGGGCGCGCCGTAGTTATTTTTATTGACTTTGTCTAGGGGTTTTGTTTTTAGCCAAAAAATTGGCCATTGTGATAAGAAAATAGGTCAGACCCAGGCCATGGGCTCAGATTTTAACAGTCCGTCCGGGTCGGTCCGTCGACACGGGGATTCTGTCTCGTCGGGCAACTAACAAAATTGCTTTCCGTGGTTTGTCCGGGATGTCCGGGTGCAGCGTGGTCCAACCCTCTATAGGCATTTTTAGTATTCATTAAACCGGCGGCGCGTGTTCATGTTTACATTAACGGGCCAGGGCTTGCACAATTACGCTGCAAACGTACATGACGCAAGGCTTGTTAGTGGTCTTGCTTTCGTTGTTTTGGGTCCGGACTTTGCCGATCGCCATCTGAAAGCGTCGCGTTCCTGTAGGCGTTCCGTGCCGCGGCTGGCCGTCCGTCGCGTGGGCCGGACTGGGCGTCAAACAGTTTGGGCACAAATCTAAAACGGGCTCGATGGCGCGTTGGGCTGACTGGTTATCGTATATTCGGAACGGGGGGGGGAATCCGAAAATCGACTGGCGGTTTGGGTATGTTGCAAGCTGGGGGTGGTAGAAGGGGCCAAAGCGTCAAGGTCAAAGCGCGTTCTGTAATTTGGAAAAGGCGGGAAGGCAATTCCCGTCTTAACTTAATATAGGAGGAGAATGGCCAGAATTGCGGTGGTGACCAAAGTCTAAACGGCTTCGACCGTGAGGCTGCGTGATAGTCGGGTATAGTCATTCGATGGTAGGGAAAGAAGAGCCATCACTGTGGCCGAAGATTGTACGGGTCGACAGGTCAACAGGTTTCAATGGTGCGCAGTGCAGATTTAGCACATTTTCTGAAGGGACGAATGGTCTGGAACGGAGCAGATGGAAACTTTTTTGGTGGTGTTTGCAGCGGCGGGGTTGAACGCTAGATTTTTATGGCTTTAATTGAAAGTGCGAGCCATGAAAGTGTACTTTTGCTGCTTGACACTGCGGAAGAGTAAGTGATCTTCCCTANTATATATATATATATATATATATATATATATATATATATACATACTGTTTATACACCGCAGCCGCAATGTCTTTGTTGTGTGCGTGTGTGCGCGTGCCGGTGTGCGTGCGTGCGTTCGTGCGTGCGTGCGTTTAGTGTAGCTTGCTAGTACCTAATTAAATTTTTATTATTATACCTTTAATCTACATTTAGTATAGCTATATTATCATTCAAACCCGTGAGAAAACACATTAATAGTTTAACACAATTTCAAAAGGTTATGGTATATATAGTGTGGTGTGTGTGTGTGCTCTTAGACTTAGACAATCGAAACGGCGTCTAAAAATGTCTTCGGGCACATGACTTTTTAGAAAATTGCTTCAAAAAGTCACTTTACCATCGGAAAATCGCGTTCTAACGTAGCGGAATGTATTCGGGACGTCCAGAAGGGGCCTCAGCTCGATTCGCGTGAGAATACGTGGCACGGTTACGGAGGAGATACGGAAAACGACACTTCGGCTCTTTCTACTATTATATAGTAGATGGTTGTGTGTTCGCGCACGCGCCAGGGGCGTCACAGCCGTAGGGCTGCCGTAGCAAAACGCTACGGGCCCCCAGCCTAAAGAGGGGTCCCCAAACTTTCAAAAAGCCTCAAAATGCTGGAAATAGCATTTTAGAGCGTCTAGATTTCAAAATTTTGCCTGCGGCAACGGCACATAAAAAAATATTAATGTTTAGGGCCCCAATTTCATTTTTGCTTACAGACCCCCAATCATGTTGTGACGCCACTGGCACGCGCGCGTATATATATATATATATCTTAATCCTACCATATGTAGATATCGGGTGTAAAAAGAAACAGGCTTTATGTAGACAAATACGTTAGGTAGACATATTTGCTGTCTACCTAATATTTAGCATGCTATAACTTCGTTTTCTTCATGAAATTTATAATTATGTCGTGTTTATCTAGTAGAGGTGTCCTCACTCTATTGACTTGTAACATCTTTAAATATGATAAAGCTTAAATGTGTTGTTAAGAACACCTTTTCTAAAAGTGTCATATATACGTCCGTATGTAAAATCAGTCCTTAAGTAGACAGTCAGTAGGCTTAAGTGCCTTAGGTAGACAGACTTTAGTAGACATATATGTGTATATCTATCTTTGAATAGTTTTAACAAATATCTGTCTATACCTCATAAAAGCACTAATATAGATGTACTATTTCCAGAAATTGCATTTGTGTTACTGTGCAGTACTGTAGATATATTAGCGTATGGAAAATGTCTACGTATGACTATGACACTAGTTTTCGGTACTGTCCACCTATGGTTGGATTAAGCGTGTACAGGGGAGTCAGGTGGTCCGGGACCCCCCTACTCGCGCGCAGAAAACGCATCTGAGGGGGTCTAATTTTAAAAAAATATTGGGCGAGAGCCCCCCCAGACCCCCCCCCCCTTCGCGTGCTCATGTACACGCACCTGCTTTGCCCCCCTAACAAAAACCCTGGCGAGCGCCCCTGGATTACAGAATTTATTATTTACTTTTGTTGGAGATTGGAATTTTCAAGGGTACGGAAGACATCGCACGAGATGTGTTTTCGATGATGGATGGGGTGTCCAGTCTTCACAATCAGTAAGGTTGGTGAACAGTTGACCCACACAGGGCCGTACGCAGCAGGGGCAGCAGGGGCAAGTTTGCCGCCCCCCCCCAGCATACAGCATCTTCAAAGAGTATGCCTTTAATGGGACAAATTACTGTACACTTTTAGAAATAAAATAGTAAATGTGACAAAATGTATCTAAATCATTTAAAGAAATAT